TGAGATGACATGATGTGAATTGGAGCTATAGAAATAAACTAAACTAGAATTTCCTTAAAAGTTTTGTTTACAGAACAAAATTCCCTCAATAATCTCTAAATCTGTCGGCTTATAAATTGGTGCAACCCTGTTTTTTATTGATTAAAATCAGATTGTAGTTTGTGGAATTCACTTTTCTTTATTCAGCTGCTTGGAAAGTTGGCCGGGTCTAATTAGGGAGAACTTTCCTAAGTGATTTGATGATTGGCACATTTTTTATTTTTCATTCAGGTGTGCCGTATATATTTGCTTGCTTGTCCGTCTCTCCATTTGTCCATTTTCTAACGTCTTTCTTCTCCTGTAGCTGCATTAAACACAGACCCATCCAACCTGGGGAAATACAGAGCCGGATTCAGCGAGTGCATCGGGGAGGTCACCCGTTTCCTGTCCACGTGCGAAGGGGTCACTGCAGAGGTCCGAACCCGCCTCCTCAGCCACCTGGCTGCCTGTGTGGCGCAGATCCATTCCTTGAACCTAAGCAGCCCTGGCTTCGGCGAGCTGGGACAGACCGGCGGCGTGCCGGTCGCAGCGCACCCAGGCCTTCAGCTTCCGCTCAAAGGTGTCTCGGTTTGCCCCGAAGCACCAAAGCTGTATGGAGGCTTCCAGGTCGTGGCGTCGCCAGACGGACAGTTTGCTTTTCTTATTCCCAACGCTGCTCTCACACCTCTGAGTGTCCAAAACAGCCATCCGCTGTCGCCCGCTGCACCTGCCGTCACTTCAGACTCTGTGTGGAGACCGTGGTAGAAACCATAAAAAGGACAATGAATCCAGGAATCTTATTTTTTTATACTTTGTAAATAAGTTTTTTTTTTTTACGTCAATGTTTTTATTTGTATATATGCACAGGAAGAGATGCTCCTCTGCCTCTTTAGTGGGCTTAAATAAATCCTGGTCAAGTTTTTGGAAAGCACTGCATGTTCATAAATAATAAAAATGTGTTCTTTAATGTGTAAATACAATAAAAAACATAGAATTGATTGCAATGTGAAATTTAAAAATGAGCTACAGTTTAAGTTTGGTTTAGACGTGTCTAGTTAGCACTTTTCTGGGTCCAGCGAGGAAACAGGTAAGCCGACACGTCTAAGGTTCAAGTTTAATTAGGTTGCTTAAAAGTTCTAAAAATTAAATTATTAGCATTTAATTCATATGTAGAAAAGAATAAAGAATAGAACAGTAAATCCATTTATTGCTCCACAATGGGGAAATTACAGCAGCAAGAAGTGGTCACTAAATGTGGACCTTAGAAAGTGTATAAAAATAACAGAATAAGTGACAAAGTTAAGAAAATGAACAAATAAGGACTGTNCATATATATGATGTCTCCATGGTCCAGAACAGGAAGGAAGGTGGTCTGAAGTCTTTTCCTCACTGAATTTATTGCCAAGTTTTTTAGTTGATTGTATTTGACTCGTTGACTCAAATACAATCCCTCACACTAAGCTATCCTGATGTGAAGCCAATGCAGCTCCTCCAGATTTACCATGGGTGTCTTTAGTTTGAAACTCAACTAAACTTTTATGTAGTTAAGTTTGATTTTATAAAAAAATTGGAAATAAAAACAAAATCACAAACAGATTACATTCATCAGAGCAGGAATATATCTTAGACAAACTTTATAGCCAAACACTGAGTGTATACAAAACAACATTTCAATGTGAACGGCTTTTCAACAGTAAATGAGCAGCTAACAGCAGTGAAATTCAAATTAAAGTGTAGGAGTGGTCAGAATGTAAACAGTGAAGGAGAAACGGAAACCCAGTTTAAAGACGTGGTGCAAATGGCATCGATGTTGGAGGCTCAGAGTTTTGCAAAATAAATAAATACATATGGTGCAAAATGCAGCAGAACACTGAGTTGAGTTCTATTTAAAGGGATTTGAACATTCACCAAGTAGTGCAACTATCATGATAACGGTGTGATGCAGAGTTTCGTTTTGCTGCTTAATTAGTATTGCGGCTTCCAAACAGATCGTTTTAGCCGCTGAGAGATGGGTCGGCTACTCGTTGGTCGCCCTATTTGAGAAGCGATTAATAGTTTATTGGT